GACATAGAGCTGCTTAGTTACTGACAAATCTTACTGGTCGATCAGTCTACCAAATTCCAATGTCCGCTGGTTCATCAATAAGTAGTATCGAAAATCATTTTTGTTGTTCCCAGCGCTGAGTTAACACGGAGGGAATTCTTTTTTTTTTTTAACTTAAAACTTGTCTTTCATCCTTAAGGAGGTCATGATCTGCATGATGAGGCAAAGCTAGCATCTATAGGAGAAAAAAGAAAGTACTAACCTGGCTGCAGCCCAGTTGTGAGAGGAGAACCAGCCTTGTTCTTTATTTAGTATTAGTTACTTGCAGTAGTGTGCTGATAAGCCCACTCCCAAAAAGGGAGAGCAAGACAGAAGTCCCCGTTTGTAGTGTTCCCTCGTTTCTGTGCCAGAAATGTTCCCATCATGACCAATTTCTGGCTACCAATGTGATATCGTTGAAAACGGAGTTGGGAAGAGATATCCAAAATTGTCTCTGGCCAGCCAGTGCAGGCTGGCTGTGGCATCCCAGCAGTTCTCCCTGGGGCCCTGGGAATGGAAGACCCTATTTGTCACACCCCTGAGCTGCACATGGGCTGTGACCTTCCCAAAGTCACATGCCATTATTGGGACGCTGGCATGAATCAACACAGCCATGTACATCACAAGCGAGCAGTATGTATCTCTCTAGCTGAGATGTGCTGAATGCAAAATGGGAGTGGTCTGCCCCCAAAAGCCATGCACCTCATAGGTGCTTAGCCTCCAGCACCCCTTCTCCTCCTTCAGAGGCCTAGGGTGCTTAGGCCTCCATTTATTCATTCATTCATTCAGCAGATATTTCCTGATTGACCTCTCTCTGGGCTGGGTGCTCTGCCGGGGGCTGGGGAGACAGGGAGGCACAAGACAGATGTGGCCACTGCCTTGTAGAGCTTACAACATGGGATGATGATGACCACGCCCCTAGTTCTGGCCCTGGTTCCATCTTCAACTTACTATGTGGCCTTGAGCAAATCCCTTAACTTCTTTGGACCTCCGTTTCTTCACCTGTAAAATGAAGGAGTTGAACTTGACATGCACTAACGTCTGTGGCTCCAGGAAGGAGGGCGAGATCTGGAAGGTACATGAGGAAGAGTTGAAGGAACTGGGCAGCTCGTGGGAGAAGACAGGACCCCTGAAGATCTGGCATGAGTCCCTTGCAAGAGGAGTGGACATTTTTATTGCGGTCCCTGAGAGTAGAGCTCCTGGGTCGAAAGTATAATGGGGGTGGGTCATTCAGACCCCAGCTTGGAAGATGTTGAACACCATCCCAGCTGCCCAGCCATGGCATGAGCCACCTTGTGAATGGGCACCTCCTATTCAGTTAGAGACTGCAGACCACGTGCCTCAGATGCACGTGGACAGGATCCCTGGCAGGGAGGTCACGGCTGTGAAGCCCCAGCCGCTGGGTGCTCTTCCGGCCCACACACCTGGAGAGGCTCACCCAGTCCTGCCACCAGGGACGTGGGGGCAGTGGTGCTGACGGATGCCTACTGAGTTCCGAGCTGGAGACACGGCCCCCACCCTCAAAAGGGAACCTGCCTGTCACATTA